TAGCTCGACTCACTCAAGGAGGTTGTGATGACAGAGAACATCGAACAACCGACTGAGCAAGCAGAGTTCACGGTCCCTAAGTGAAGCTGGCGTGGGCGTGGCGCAGCAAAGGTCCAGCGCCACAGAAGCAGCTTCACCCCGCACACGATGCGCCAGCAGCGAGGGACTGTGGAGAACTGCCAGGGAGGGGTTGGCGGTTCTGCCACTGCTGTTGGGGTCGCGATGGACGAACAGCAGCCGGCGGCCAAGCGAAGAGGCAGAGTTCGAGCAGAGAAACAAAGTGTGAGATGAACAACAGACGTGTGTCCCGCTCTTCTGGAAGTTTATGGAGCTTCCCGGTAACTGCCCCGCAACAGCTGTTCGCACAATCAGTCGGCAGCGCTGACCGAGAGGTAAGGAAATGGGAAGAAATTGAACGAGGTGAAAAATGACCAAAAGTCTCAGTGGAATAAATCTAATTTAAAGCAGCTGACAGAAGAAAATCTAGTTATTTTACATTTTTGCATCAGTTTTAAAGCATATTTAGCAAGAGCACTTTCCAAACCGTTTTCTAAAACAGTACCATTCCATCATAGTGATTGACATCAGTATTTTCCCTTCTTACGTTCTCTGGATTGCAATCTCCATTCAAAAACATTATTTTATGTCCAAACACTTCCTTCCAATTGGCGACATAGATCAAGGAAGCGTTTGGCTACAGCATTATACCTTAAGCAAAACTGTGAGCTAATTCACCGCGATCATATCTGTCAGAATTATATTTGTCCCTCGATCGAAAATTTGTATAGGATTGTTGTCTACAAGTTTGATACATTAGAAGGAGAACCTAAATGCACAGCAAAATTATGAAAACGGAATTTTTAATGAGCAAAAACTTCAAAAAATAAATAACTCAAAAGTGATCCGTGTACAAAGTGTCTGCTTAAAAGCGCTAATGAAGCAGACTTTTATACCGTATGCCTGAGAATTTAGTTGCGTGACAAGTTGCATTGCTTGGAAAAATTACAAAAAATTACAAAATCACCTTACTTCGAAATATGTTTGCATCAAATTCTGCAAAAGATTTTGGAAATTGGATTGTAGATGCATGGAATTTTGATGCTGAAGCTTTTAGAATCTATCAATTAGCTGAGGATAGATCTCAGCCACCACTTGATTCAGTAAACAGAGCTTTTGTTGGCGGAAAAAAATCATAAACCAGCAAAATTCTCCTTGACTTACATCCAATTGCAGCGGTTTTTCTTTTTTAAGATTCCACGAGTAATTTGCACATCTTAGATTTGGATGATTATTTTTGTGCTGCGCTAATTTTTACTATGTACAGTAGAGGAGTAAATTCCCGGTCAAATCCGAAAATTAAAAAAAAATCTAATCAAAAGCAAACCCTCTTCATAATCTTGAAAATGATGATGGTGAATTTACTAGTGCTGATACGTTCTACCTCTTTTTCTTCAAAACTACCATAATGTAACAGTTTCATATCCGCTAGGAATATGTAGTTGTAAACGTCCCGAAATTCCGTATCTTATACCAAACGAGTTTTAGAACGTAGTAAAGATGGTTACTGAACAAATTCATTGAAGCTTAAGAAGGTAGAATAGCAAAGGTCTGGTAACTAGACTTGGATCGGCAGCTGTAGCATAGAAAGCAGGACTAGTAAGTCCTATATTTCATCAGAAACATTCAGCCGATATAATAAAAGGATTTTCTATTCTATCCTTTAGCGAGAGCATGAAATGTCACCGTGCAGTGTTTTTCTCCGATCTGCTGCTGTAACGCGACATTTTCTGGTGAACTCCTCTCGTCCAGAAATATGTCCTCGGAGAAATCGATATCATAGCTATCGTAATCGGAACCGCGAGCTGTTCAGCAGTTCTTTCAGAGGGAGGGTGGGCGTTCCGTAGTGCACATTGTTCCAGAGAGCTATGTTGTAGAGAAAGGATCACGAGTGGAGGTTCGATGGATTCAGTGCCGCGGCAGCGGGCAGCAGAAGAAGATGGGTTACAACCAGAATCGCCTAGTAGTAAACAGCTGCGAAACAGCTGTGGATGCCTGGTTGGTTTTTCCGGGCGCACTGCGGACCAACACCGTTACAGATGACCGAAATTTGAGGGCGAACGCGGAGTTTGGGATTGGGAACTTAGTTGAGATCCACCAAAATTGTTAGTTTATTAGCCTGAAATTTACATCATTACATATGCCACACTGAGATGCACACCAATCTTCACTGATATATAATCCATTGTCAAAATGAAAGTAAATCATTGCAAGCTGACTATCGATCTGCTCTAAATAATCTTCTAAACTTAATGTTAAACAAGGCGGAAACTGATCAAACATATGAAATCAATTCATCTTCCGCATCTAAGCCAATAGTTAGCAAAAGGAGGACACTTTCAATGATCGTTTAATGTACGTTTGCAATGTGAGTCCATTATTCTATCCAATTTTGAGAAAAATATTGCATTTTTCTGGGAAAAATATTTATTTTAGTGATTTAAACTAGATAAGAGGTGTTATGATCATTCGAAAATATATCGCCTCGTTTAGGAAATTGGGACGGAGGAATAGTATTTTCTCCATTACACACTTCTTTTTCCGCACAATCTGAGTGCTCAGTGCAGCTC